ATGTGCTAGTTGTTCCCGACTCTAGGGGGCGGAGTTCATCTCCGTTTCAAAGCCAAAGATCCAGCGCTGTCCGAAGACGTCTCAGTGGTCATGTGGCTGGCATGACTCAATATCAAAGGGGCACAGAATGTTGTTACCTTCCCACCAAAGGTGGTTCCTATTTTTCTACTTGCATTTTTACATGCTTTTGAACTGCTAGGTTGGCAGAAGCTGGGACAAATCACGGGAGCTCACTCCAGTATGCAGGGCTAGGGATTCGAACCACTGAACTGCCGACCTTTCTGATCGACAAGCTCAGCGTCTTAGCCACTGAGCCACCACGTCCCTAATGAGCCAGGCTTTAGAATGAAACTATTCTGAGTTAAACCAGCCTAGGTTCTCTATAAAGGAACAGCATAAAAAGTGAAGGCAACCTTCATTTTTAATTGAAAATTTCTCAACAAGAGCAAAGCAAATCCATAAAGACAGAAGCTTTCGCTTGCCAGCATTAGTGAATATGTATACTAAATGTGAAAATGGGAAAACATCCAAGGGTTGCTATATACTCCATTTAACCGCAATTTACAGGAGAGACAGTAACAATGATATCCAGAACTTATTATCTGCAAAACGAGAGAAATCCAACTTGGAACAATAACCGGCCTTCTAAAACAGACACAAGAACTTGAAATATCCAGTAACAGCAGGAGTTCGAGATAACCAAAATCTCTAAACAAACTCTAAAGGTCAAGTTGTGGGATCGGTAGCCACATTCCTCTTTAATGGAAAAATCAGGGAGATTACAGGATGCTTTGGTTGCAAACCACGCCGAACCAGCTCTGCCCCTCTTAACTTACGGTAAGAGATGCTTATATTCCAATTTTATGAGATTCTTGATTTCTCTGGCATCATCCAGATGCATCGGGCTCCATTCTCCATAATGGCTAGAAATGCTGCAGTTACTACTGACTCTATGGAAGTGCAGGTTGGAGTGTTCTACATAAAATGTTTGACACTTGTGCAAACCCTCCCACCCCTTTTTTTTAGGCAAGGTAGACATGCAATTCACCTTCACAAGCTAAGTTGCTCTGATAATATTTAAGATGGTAATATTTAAGATGATAGGAAATAGAGGTGTTTTCTATTCTCAGGATCAAAACTTCTAAAAAGTAGCAAATGTGAGGTACAATTCAATTGCAGGTTTTAAAAGAAAAAAACTTCTTAAACCATAGAGACTGCTGATTAAAGGGCCCAGTCACAAATTAACCTAGATTAATTCGTGTTACAGATTCAATGGCAATTCATTTTCACTAATGCATCCGGAGTCAACCAGGCCATTTATCCTAAGGGAAGGATTTCCAAGAAAGAGGAACTAGGCGATTTTATTTCCCAGACAGCTGCTCGTAGAGTTTGGGGACGTAGTCGTCCCACTCGGCTTGGAAGCAGGTGCCCGCGACGGGGGAAGGCAGCTTGTATTTCTTGCGGAAGGCCAATATTTTGAAGTTTCCACGTTTGTCCCCCGAACGGTTGCTCAGGGTGGGCTCGTTGCAAGTCAGCTGCTGGGACTGCTCGTAAACCAACCAGACGTAGCGGTGAAGGCCTGAAAATGCACAGGAGCAAAATAAGAAGCAGAAACCCTTTTTAAGGAGGGTTCAATCCAGCCCTCTGCCCACCTCCTCAGAGCTGTTCGGGACTCAAGCGACATGCAAATCTGAGGATGGATTGGATGGAGGGGACAATGGAGGCAGGGAGTGAGGAAGGGATGGATGGATGGGAGGAATGGAAGAATGGATGAGAGGATGGATAGATGGAAGATTGCATGGAGAGATTGATAGATTATGGATGGATGGATGGATGGATGGATGGATGGATGGATGGATGGATG